AATAATAATAATGATAATAATAATAATAATGATAATAATAATAATAATGATAATAATAATAATTATAATAATAATAATAATGATGATAATAATAATAATAATAATAATAATAATAATAACAATTACAATAACAATAATAATAATAATAATAGATTGATATTAACTCATATTAAATTAAATTCAAAGTCAAATTTGTATTTATTTATATTATATTTCAATGAATGATAATAACATCAACAACAATAAGTTATAATAAATAGTAATAAAAAGAATAATTAAAAAAAAGTATAAAGTTTCATAGAATAGTAATGATACAAAATTCTTCTTATCTGAAAAAAAATCACTTTCCAGAAAAGCCATGACACACGGCATTAAATAATCAGGGAAAGCAAACACGCATAGTAGCGTGCGCACGGAAATGTCGCAAATCCATCGATTTCATTCTCGATTACGGCTTTCATTCATTTAATGCTCATGCAAACCACCCTTCGTGTTCACATGTTGTTCACAAGGAAGATTCCTTAATTGAAAAAGTGCATGATTTCCGTGACATGATCGAGTCAATGATTTATTAATCGTTTCATTTCTGAAACCGATTGAGAAAAAAATTTTCATCGAATTCACTATATATTATAAAATTTGAGAATTAAATATTTAATATTTACATAGATGAAATTCTTGAAAGAATAAAATAAAGTTTATGGCAATGACAATTGTTTCGATTTTAAAATCGATAATGGCTCAAAATTTCGTTTGATTTAAATGATAATTTTAACGAAGTTGTAAACGAATGCAATTTTTAGAAATATCGTGATTGTTCTGATTTAATGCTGATATTGAAAGAGAATACATATTTATAAAATAAAAAACATATTTATAAAATATGTTTATATTAATATTTATAAAATATATAATAGGATTTATAATTTTCTTTTAAAATAAATATAATCTCGTTAATTATGGAAATAAATACGTGCAATATATGAAACAGCCTGTACAAATCTATTTGTCAACATTATATAATTACATTTACCAAGTCATATTATTTCTTTTGAATGAATAAATGCCAATCCAAGAAAAGATATTGATGTATATAAAAAGAGATTCCAATAAAAAAGTCAACAAAAAAATCAAAATACTTCTCAATTCTCTTTAATTATTTCAATTCTTTCACAAATCTGTCTCCTTTTTTCTCTGTTTCATGAGTTTTCTTTTAATGATTTCTGTTTCTGTAACATTCATATTTTGATGTAACAATTATATAGTATAAAAATTATTTTAGAAATTACTTTTTATAGAAAACAAATTTATAATATATTTTTTGAATTGTTATGAGCATTCATAAGAAATAATAAGAATAAGAAAATTATAGTAATTTAAATGTAGTATTCTTCTTTCTACTTATACAACTACTAAAAACATGTTTGTTATATGAAATGAAGCAATTTATGCATATAAAAATATTATTATAATATATAATATAATTTAATATAATATAATTAATTAAAT